AAATCTTATAACCTACTTAAAACTACCTACGGTTACATACGTCACAGGTTTGTTCTGTTTGTAGACTAAATTACGATATTGAATGCGCAGGCGTATCCGAAAAGCGCTTTAATCTTATGGAGTCGTCACATAAAACTGCTTGGAGGTGTCCAGAGTGTTGCAGTAAGCAACCAAAACTTGGCAATATCAACACGCCCATACGTTCGCATGTTGTCTGTGAGACTGATTCCTTGAAAGATAACATATCAAATGTTACCATACGTACCAAGCAAAATAAGTTATCTTCACAGCAGGGTTGTCAAAACTACGTGACCGAAGACAGGCTACGCGAAATATTAAAACAGGAATTTTCTTCAGCTATGAATGAGACTATTAAGCATTTAGTAACAACCGAACTTAGGAGCATTAATGAGAAGATCTCTAGTTTTCAGGAAGCTGTAAATTTTTTTAATACCCAATTTGAAGATGTGAAGGTCACGTTGGAGAAGACTACTGCAACAATTGCTGATCTGACGAAGGATAATGAGAAGCTTAAATCTTCCGTAAATGATCTCACAACGCGATTGAACACTGTTGAACTGCACATGAGAGAGGCTAACTTGGAAATCAACGGAGTTCCTGAGCACAGATCCGAAAATCTATACAAAACTATTGTCCAGCTTACAAAGGCAGTTGATAATCCTCTTCAGGTGGATGATATCCTACACGTTACCAGAGTAGCCAAGTTATCCAAAGACAATGATAGATCCAGAGCTATAGTAGCTAAATTAAGAAGTCCTCGTACCCGTGATATAGTCTTGGCAGCTGTCAAAAAATTCAATAAAGAAAATCCTCAAGATAAGCTAAGTTCCCACCACTTAGGCATTGGGGGAGCAAAGTCGTCGATCTACGTGTCAGAACACCTTACACCTGCAAATAAATACTTGCATGCTGCGACTCGGAAAAAAGCAAAGGAGCTGGCTTATAAATTTGTGTGGGTTCGTAACGGCCGGATTTTTATCCGGAGAGACGAGAATCACCAAGCCCTTTTAATAAGAAGTCTGGATTCTCTCCATAATCTTCAATAGGTTTAGTCTCTTAATTAAGAAAGTTTTGGAACCATCGTATTAAAAATGCTTGACATTTATTACCAAAACGTCCAGGGCCTTAGAACTAAAACTAATGATTTGTACAAAAATGTTGTTACTTGTAATTATAAGATTATCGCTTTTACCGAAACATGGCTAAATTGTAATATATTAAATAACGAATTGTTTGACAGTAGATATATAGTATATCGTAGGGATCGGTTGTGCTCGAGAAATACAAAGAAGGATGGAGGAGGTGTGATGATAGCAGTTTCGCGTGACATACCTTCAGTACGAGTACAGAACTGGGAAATTGACGTGGAAACCTTGTGGGTAACACTTCAAATATCAGTTGGTAAAACGGAGAGAAAACTGGCAATCTGCGTCGTATACTTACCACCTCCAGTAAAATTAGAAACATTGTCTCGATTTTTGGAAAGTGTTGATAGTATAATACACCAAACCGATGACCTTATAATCCTGGGTGATTTTAATCTCTGGTTCATTAACTGGACTGCCATGAACAATAGTACTAACATGGTTCCATCTAACTATAATACAGCTTTGGGATACTCCCTAGTGGACTTTCTGACAGTTAATAACTTGTATCAAACTAATTGTATCAGTAATAGTGATGGTAGATTTCTTGACTTAATACTCTGTAGATTGCCAGAAGCATCGGTGACTGTTCCTTTAAGTAATCTATCCAAAATATATAATAATCATCCAAGTCTACTGCTACGAATTGCGTATTCTAATGTTAATTATCTCCGTCCAAAAATTAATGATAAAAATAACTATTATAAAGCTGATTATAATTCAATAATACGAGATCTTAGAAATGTTGACTGGCACACAAGACTACCTCATTGTAAAAATGTTGACGATATGGTATCAGAATTATACACTGTTCTAAACGTTGTCATTGGTAAGTATGTGCCGAAATGCAAGTCCACCAAGCCAAATTCCCCTATTTGGTTGAGTAACTCTCTTACTAAACTCTTAGCAGAAAAGGATAGAACGCGTAGAAGGTACCTTAAATTCGGAAACCCTCGCGATGAAATTGAATATCAAATGCTTCGCTCTCGTTGTCATAAGCTCACTGATAAATGCTATAGTCAATATAAAAACAAAATAGAATGTAATATTCCCAAAAATCCAAAAATATTCTGGAGTTTTATAAAAAATAAACGTGGTGGGCACTCGACGATTCCTGCGAAAATGCAAATGGACGATGTGGTTGTTAATTCTGGTCCAGATATTGCCAACTTGTTTGCTCGACACTTTCGTTCAGTCTTTAGTAATGATTTTTCTTCTCATACGAAAAAAAATTACCCTGACTACCATTCAAGTAAATCAATAAATAATGTAACTCTGCACGAACGTGATGTTTTAAACAAAATTAAAAAAATCGACCCGTTGAAAGGAGCGGGTCCAGATACAATTCCACCACTATTTGTAAAACGCTGTGGTTCAGTTTTGACTCAACCCCTGACAATGATATTCAATCGTTCATTGCGGGAGGGAAAATATCCTGAAGTATGGAAGAATGCCCGAATCGTACCCGTGTATAAGAAAGGGGATCAGAGTAATGTTAAAAACTATCGCCCTATTTCGATACTTTCCAGTTTTTCAAAGTTATTCGAAGCTGTTTTACATCCTATTATAACAAAATTTCTCGAAAATAGTGTATCAGACCATCAACACGGTTTTAGGAAAGGTCACTCTACACAGACGAATCTAGTGTCATTTATATCAGACTTATGCGGGGAAGTCGATGGTGGATCACAAGTCGATGCCATATATACAGACTTCAGTAGCGCGTTTGACAAGGTTAACCATAGTCTGCTCTTACAAAAACTTAGCAATTACGGATTTGAGGGTTCGCTGCTTCAGTGGTTCAAATCTTACCTGCAAGAGCGACGTCAAAGTGTTGTTGTCAATGGTTTTGAGTCAGAGACCTATTTTGCTGCGTCTGGGGTCCCTCAAGGGTCCCATTTGGGTCCGATCCTGTTTTTGATATTTATTAATGACATTACTACCCGTATTAAACATTGCCGGAAGTCTCTTTACGCAGATGATCTAAAAATCTACAGCATTGTCAAATCGTCCGCTGATGTTGCTCTAATACAAAACGATTTAAATGAAATTGTATCCTGGTGTCACTCCAATTGCATGACTCTCAACGTCAAAAAAATGCTTCCACATAAAATATACCCGAAAGAAAAAACCGCTTGCTTCTACGTACGAGATTGGTGGCGTCGCATTGGGCGAGGTTGAGGAAATCCGAGATTTGGGAGTTTTAATAGACAGTAAACTAACTTTTACTTCACATATAGACAAAGTAGTAACTAAGGCTGCCCAGATGCTTGGATTTCTCAAACGAAACTCCTTAGGTTTTAAACAAATACAAACCAAGATCCTGTTATACAATGCTCTTGTACGCAGCCATCTCGAGTACGCAAGTGTCACATGGAGTCCATTTTATGCAGTGCACTCGCAACGCGTGGAGAGCATACAGCGAGCGTTCACCAGACATTTGGCTTTCTGTTCCAGCGGATTCTCTCACAGGCAACCGTATGAACAGCGTTTACAAAAATTCAACATGGTTACTTTGCGTGATCGAAGGCTTTTGTTGGACTTGTGTTTCCTGCACAGGCTCATTAATGGACTGGTCCAATGTAGTGATTTACACGAATGCATTTCTCTGAGTGTCCCGTATAAATATCCTAGAAACGCAATAACAAAAATTTTCTATACACCCCCTTGTAAAACCAATCTTGGCCTTCAATCCCCTTTGACTAGGATTTTCAACGAGTACAATACGATTAACAGTAAAATCGAGGACTTAGATGTGTACCACGACAGGATAAATATTTTTGTCAATAAGATTTTTCAAAATTATTCAAATTCGAGCAGTAGGTATTGATAACGTTAATTTAAATTAAGTTATTATAAGTTGTTTTAGTAACCCTTCTATTATAAATGCTATGTACACCGTAATTGTCATATATATCAGATGTAATTCCGTATGTTGAATGTTGAAATGTTGTAATATATATGATGTGGTAGTACTTAATAAATAAAATAAAAAAAAATGATTGCGTACTATATTTTTTCTGCGAGTTAATAATGTATATTTCCTTACCAATCCTAAACAACAAACTTAAATGCAAAACGAACGCTACAAAACAAAAAATCAAAGAGATAGAATAGAAGTGACCAATTTAAAAGACATTTCGCCAGGGTAGCTTACAACTGTACATATTAAAGTATATAAAAAGCACTTTTTAAAATGAAAATTTCAATAACGTAAATCAGAATTTTTGCATGCCTGTGAACGGTACGATAAAGGTGGTTTTCCATCGGCGAGGCGAGACGAGTCGAGAAGAGACGAGAATTGAAATCTCGCAGGTCTATTTCCCCCTAAAATCCCATTAATAGCTCGCGCGAGCCATCAAGATGTCGCGCGAGCTCGCGCTGTGATTGTGGATAATGAAGATTCAGTGCTGCTCAGTTTATACAGCTGTAAATACGCGGCTGTAGTAACATGACTCGTAAATTGTTATTATTAAGCATGTTAACGGAAGAAGAATCAGGTGACACCATCTTTTTTAAATCTCAAATCGTACGTACCCCACAATCTCGCGCTTGGTATTAATAGCCATCGCGAGTTCGCGCGAGACAGTTCGGGCACTCGCGTGTTCGTGCGAGCTCGTGCGAGAAATCGTGTTTCCCTTGCAGAGTATAATACTCTATGTAAGCAGCAATACGGTTCAATATTACATTAACAAATCTTTCACTTCTCACCTCGCCCATCTCTGTCAACCCAGACCATTTCCAGCGAAGATGGGCTAGGAGATAATTTAAATTTTGTCATGCAAATTTCAATTCACGTCTCGTTTCGTCTCGCTGGTGGAAAACCACCTTAATGCTGTATTTACTTGTAACTACTAACATTTATTTAAGCATATCCTAAGCAAATAAGGTCTTTTCATTTTATCTTTATCTCCATGTCAATAGAACCGCCCGCGCCACCTGCTGCCATTTCCTGATACTCTTAAGAGCAACAAACATCCTGTCAGTTATTAAAAAGTTTTCAAAAATTTCCCGAGTGAAACGCGTGCGAACACACAACGTCACGGAATCCAACATGGCGTCATGGCGTCACGATAAGAGAACATTTAATGAGATTTATTTTGATAACGGCTGGACGGCACGCGCTGTTTTATTATTCCGCGGATTCGTAGGGTGGCCATGAATGTTTTATGAATAAATAAATATACCAGACAATTACTTACAACAATAGTAAAAGTGAAAGTTTTGGATTTTCGCCATGATTAAAGAACAAAAACGACAAATGGCGCCGAAATTCAAATTAGCGCTTCTATTGTTGTTTTTTTAGCATTAAACGGAAATAAATATTAGGTTTTTTATCAGTCACCATTTCATTCATATATTTTGTAACCAAATAAATTTAGCCTCAAAAACTTACTAACTTCATGTAATTATTAAGTTTGTTTTGTGCTAGTAGTTGTCACCAAAGATTTATCCTATTTTAAGGCCAGGGTCTAATGGGTGTAGCTTATACCACTGTTCATGGTTCCTAGCCAGCGCGATGACTTCCACAAAGCAGCTCACTTTGATCTTTATCTAATCTGATCTATTTCGAAGACATAAAAGAACAAACTCCTGATGGTTGAGAGAAAGGATATGGGAAAATATTAGGGCCAGTCCACTGCGAGATAATGGTAGCTGGAGAGTACGCACTAACACCGAAATAGAAGACCTCGTCGCCAAGCAAAACACCATTCGGCGAAATCAAAGCACACAGACTTCTCTGGCTCAGCCATTCAAGATGATGAGAAGATCGGAACGTGAAGCGAGCCTATCTTGTTCGATCTATAAAA